GCTCCCAACAATGCTTGAAGAGTTTTTGAAGCATGCAGGCTTTTAACACGCCATACACACAAACTAGCTCTGGTTTTAATAACTGATCTGCAGCGTGTATTCTAGCTATAGGAGATTGTCGTCAACTAGCCACGCAGCCGGTCACAGACTCATAGGGAATCAAAGGAAGCATGAGTCTTTTGTCACACTGCGCTTTGAGCTGTGGCGTTTATTCTTCTTATCGCACTCTCTCAATTGCTCTCATTTGTTCTTGACAAATGAGAGATTTTCTGCTAAGTTGTTTGATTGCCTCTTTTGATTCTTAAGACGTGATTAGTAGACGCGATTTTCAATGGTCCAGCGTGTGCCTTAATATTTGGGATCACAACATGGCTATTTCGATTTCACTTTGCTTTTAATTAGAATACAGTCATTTGCATTTTGATTATGGTATTGTTTATCTAAATGCCCTTTTTAAGTTGGCATACTGTGAACATTGCAGTGAAATGGATTTGTAGCTAAGACATCAAATCCAGATTACTTCTGTTAGTCCAAGTATATTCATATTATCATTTAGTTCCATGTATTTTAAAGTTGCATTGTGTAACTTTTCTGGTGGAGGGTCTGTCAAATACTTTTCTCTGTAGAGATGTTATTGCTTTGTCTGGAATGTTTCACAGGATGGTATTAAACCTTTCTAGCTCCAGGTCAGATCTGTGGAGAGGCAGCCCCGCTCAGTCAGAATGCCTGTTTTTCTAGGTATTTTTGAGCTATAAAACCATCTGTAATTGAATAAACGTAAGGTAGAGCTGCTTAATATCATACTGTGGAACATTCCAGGCAGTGCAATGGCATATCCATAGAAACAAGCAGGTGACGGACCCCCAACTAAAAACTTACATAGTGCACCTTTAACCAAATATATTTTTCTCAGGTCAATATAGCAATTAATTTGTCAGTACACTCATTTTCATATTTGGCATATGTTTTACTTCAGATGCCCTACCCGAAACAGGGTCAACCCTGTGTTCCCTAAGGTTCTAAGATGTTCCTTATTTCTAAAGTTTCTAAAAAGTCCAGTCATTTTTATATTTACACCACATTTGAAGGGATGATTCAGAGTAATTTCAACCTACGGCAACCCCCCTAAGTATTGTGTTCCTGCATTTCCCTATAATTTAAGCCCTATCCTCCCGCAGGACTCCCTGGTCCATGGGATTTGCTCAAATGTCTGTTTGTGTGGATAATAGGTTGGGTGTAATGGACGACCAAACTGGGAGAAACTGGGTAAAATCTGATGCAAACTGATCAAAGGAAATGTGGGAATATAAAGTCTAATTTTTGGGGGGGAAAAAAATAAATAAATAAATAAAATAAAATAGAAATGAGGGAACATAAGGCTAAGGGAACATAGGCACTCTCCCCCTGAAACAACGAGGGGCGCCAGTTGTATTTCTCGCCCACTAAACCTTATGACAGCCTTTTAACCTATTGTGATGAAATACTTAAAAATGGGAACAAAATTGATTATATGCTCTAGTCACTTTACTTCACCTAAACATGTACCTGAGTCTACGCTTCAATACTGTTTTATTATTCACTGCGCAGTGTTTATGTCAAATGCACTTGAACCTATGCAGTCTATAGTGTTAATATTTAATAACGCCACAGTCAGCTGGACGCAGAAATGGAGAGATAACAGAGCAGAGAGCAGGACCCGTTACCATGGTGACACGCCCCATGTGTAGGAGCAGGGGCCTCTTGAATAAATGACCTTGACAAGCCAGATGTCTATCGGTCGATTTGACACACAAAAACACGCACGTGCACATTTTTACTACACTATATCTGACCCTATTCTTAAAGCAGCGTGATGAGCCAGATGTGGACCCTTGATGAGTTTAGTACAACCACTCTGAAAATTGAAATTGAATTATTTATTGATGAAATAACATTTAAATGTGATTTTTATAGAAAGTATTTCAGATGAGGTTTGCAACAAATGTTCACAGACCACAGACCACAACAATAAAAGGTGCACTGTGTAATAGGGGTGTAATGATATCCAAGTCTCACGATACGATATCGTCACGGTATGAACCTCACGGTATGATATTTTTTGCGATATCGTGGGAGAGCTCACGATATGGCAGGAGGCTCAAGGTTAAGGATGTAACAATATCCAAATCGGTACAAAATTTTCATGATATACATCTCACGGTATGATATATTATTATATATTTATTGTGATATTGTGTGGAGGCTAACAAAACTGTTAGTATGATACTTTTGTCTCTTAAAATGGCTTGGCAAGATTTAATCCAAAGAATTAAGATTTAGAAGTGCTTAGAAATGTTATTTCTTCATGTAGTTTGCACTGAAATGGACCAAAGGATCATGGTCTATGTAGCTCCCTCTGTCTTTTTTTTTTTTTTTTTTAGCTATTGCTGCACCATAACTCTTAATTTAAGCAAAGAGATTTGTAATTCGATATATTGTGATGGTCCACGATATTATTGTGAGAATTCTGATAATACGATATCACAATATTTCGGTTATTATTACATCCCTACTTTGTACATTTTCATAACATCTCTATGGAGATGTTATGGCTTTTCTTGCATATACCCAATTGCAGGTTTCTGTTGTTAAAAAAAATATATATTTTGAGAAGCTTCTTATTGTGAGTAGACTTGCCTCTCCACAGATCTGACCTGTAACTGGCACCACCTGCTTGCTTCCAAAGGTTTTATTGCTACTCTGTGGGGAAAAAGCAATAACACCTCCATGGAGACAACCAGATAACAGACATTCAATTGGAAATGTTACATAATGCGCCTTTAACTTCCAAATAAATATCTTGTATTTATTAAAACTACAGGGTTAGCAGAATATACTTCTCTACAGAGAACATTATATTACCTAAATCATTTCTAGTGTTGCCATTTGCTTATTTTTTGACCGTCTTCATTTGCATTGTAATTAATCTCTGAGCCCTAATGAGCTGTTGTGTGTTGACTACATGTTGTGGTGAATAGATGCACACGCAGTAGACTCTCAGTCTCTCAGGAGTAAGGCTTTCCCCTAGACATCCGTGTAACCAATCTTAATCCTAAAGCTGTTAATCCTCACAAAGCCATTTAAGGCAACTAAATGACTCCCCAAAGACCAGAAAGTAGCTAATGGTTACACAAGTAAATTAATACCAAGTTGTGGCATTTCCTATTTACTGGCTGCATGTAACTTTGAATTAATCTTAAATTTTAAACTCACTACATAAAGCATACACATTGAGCATTCATTAGAAAAGAAACAAATACATATAAAGGTGCACTATGTAGCTTTTCTGCTTCTCCATGGAGATGAATGGAGATCCTCAGTGTTTATTCCTAAAAAAAACAAACAAACAACAACTTGGAAAATAGGTATTCTTACAGTGACCAAGGTCGCCTCTACACAGATCTGACTTTTATCTTGGCTTGGCCTGATTCATCAGCCGGTTTCATTTCATGGAAACCATCTGACCTGACAGCATTAAAATTTGTTCGCTCGACGGTAGGCGGGTACTTTTTTCATTTAACCAGTCGCTGCTATTTGGTCATGACGTATGTAATGCGCCGCTAACGGGGCATATTAAGCTTTTCCCAAATCCCGTAGAAAGAAAGACAATAACGTCTTTCCCCTTGATAAAATTCACCAAACATTCTCTTTGTTCCAGCTTTAAATCCTCGATCTTGGGAATCGTTGACAACACAGAATGTATGGCTCTTCATAGATTGGCTGGTGCCCGGACTCGCACTTCCAGGGTTTTTACAAACCGTCTAGTGTATTCCGATTCCTGACCTAGTCACTAGAGAGAAATTAAATTGAGTGGAGGCACTAGGGGGCACCAGTCTGTCTAGGTGTCACCTGCTGGTCTCCATGATAAATAGATAAATAACAAGCTTAATGCGATACTGCGGAACATCTCAGGTGAAGCAATGTCATTTCAGTGGAGACAAGCAGAAAGCAGAAGTTACACTGTACACCTTTAGATTATTATTTTTGTTTTATGTTTGAATTTTTGCCCGACATTATAGATTCATATATTCGGGCAGACTACTTCAAGCTCATTTTATTTTCTTGGGTTGTAAAAGTAGGTCATGTTGTGACACTTACACACACTGTATAGTCAGCACAAGAAAATGTTAATGAAATATAGGACAAACAAAAGAGAGTATGTATGTATGCTGTACGATGAATTAAATTTAAGCTCCCAAACACGAGCTCAGATGACCTACATAAAGAGGCTGAGTAATGAAGAAACGATGTGCAGCAGAAGCAGTGAGACGATGTGGACAAATGTTTGTGTAGATCGAGTCTTAACAAGATAACTGCCTGATCCCACCTAATCCCACTCTGTGCTTTGGCAACATCGCAGCATGTACCACCAGCACTAAACTAACTTCACCAAATGCGCTGCACACAAGATATACATAAAGGATATCAGGATTTGTTGAAGATAATAAAATAAAAATACATGGTTGATTTATGACTTGTAATCACCGCTTAAAGATGCACTATGTATTTTTTTCTGGTGGAGAGTCCGCCACCTGCTTGTTTCCTTGGGGATGTAGTTGCTTTACCAGGAATGTTTCACAGTTTGGCATTAAACACTTGTATCTTGCGTCTGTTCTATTTTAGATTCAAAGAAATATATTGTCAGGTACACAGTGAAAGATAATTTAAACTGTGTAATGGAATTCTTAATTGCTTGCTTCCCTTAGAAATTAATTAGTGACCTATACTAAAAAAAGACATAGACCATAAAGTGCATAAAAACAATTCCTCTATTTAGTGATTTTGCTCTAATTACAGTCACAGTAGGGACCAGGGACATTTTTAAAGCCATACTGTGAAACATTCCAGACAAAGCAATAATATATTCACCAGAAAACTTGCAGTGTCCCTTTTAAAATGAACGATAATGGTTGTATTATTGATCATATGCTGACACTGTGTTCTTGTGTGTTTGTCCACAGCTTGTCCTCAGGGCACCTTTAAGTCGACTCAGGGGGCAGGGCTGTGCCAGCAGTGCCCACTCTACAGCCGCTCCACCATCGAGGCAGCCACTCTGTGCGGCTGTCGCAACGGCTACTACCGGGGAGACATGGACCAGCCAGAGGACACCTGCACTAGTCAGTCTCTTTTACTCTTCTTCTGTGTAAATGTCACTGTACTAAAACTTCAAACTTGATTTCAATTGATACTTTGCAGTGACGTCATGCCGGGGGGGGGGGGGGTAATGGTTGATGTTGTTTGAGAGAGATTTGTTTAACAGCACAAATCATCTGTTGTAGTTGCAGCAAGTCAATTCTTTCTAATCAGATTGTGTTAAAATAAAGATCAGATTAAAGTCTAATAAAGTGTCAGACAGAGCAGAGCCTACAGTTAACATCACACCAGCAGGGAATGTTAATGCCATCAGCTACAAAATATCAATACTAAAAAGGACTTTATACTCAAAACCGATCTCAGTACCACATTAATAACTAGAAAAGCACTCAGAGAGCGCAGACCTCCGCCAAGGACTACCCCCATTTTTTATATAAATTGCGATAAAATCAGTCTTCTGGATCAGATCCGGATCAGCCTTTGGAATATGAAAGAGGAATCCCATTGTCCATCCCTGAGTCAAATTTCATGGGGTTTGGTCAATAATTAACCGAGATATTGAGAAACAAAATTTTTGGCCCCATTTACCACAATGTTAACTAAAATTTCAAAGTGATCCAGAATCCAGGATTTCTTCTGGATCACCCCCAAAATGAAATCAGTTCTTCCTTTTCACATTTCCAACAAATCCTGAAAATTTCATCAAAATCGGTCCATAACTTTTTGAGTTATGTTGCTAACAGACAAACAAACAAACAAACAAACAAACAAACGCCGGCAAAAACATAACCTCCTTGGCGGAGGTAATAAAATGAGAAACAAAATCTTGAAATGAATGTGTTGATCTCCAATCAAAAGCAAGTTTGTGGTCTTTTACTAGTTGTGTTATCCAAAAATCTCTAGAACGTTTCACATTTTTCAGTATTGATACTTCAAATTGATACTTCAAATGAGTAACTACTATCAGTTTTGTGTCCGAGTCTCATTTTTTGACAACCCTGTAATGAGGGTTTATAATGAGTTATGAAAGATCATCAAAAATATTTTTTCAACATCAAACTAAACATTTTTGGCCTGTCCTGAATCTTTCATCCAAAGATAATTCATTTTGCATTGTCAAATTCAAGGAGGTTAAAGGTTCAATTCCCAGACGTCTAGGGCCTTTCAGTGGGACGTATGCATCTTTCACCTGTTCACTCACCACCACGAATATCAGTTTTCAGTTTTACAGTAATACTCAGTGCCTTAACCTCTTCTCAACTCCTTTTAGCCTGACTTTATTCTTCATTCAACTTAAAAGCTTAAAAGCACACTATATGAGAAAATATATATTTGTGGTAGGGTCTGTAATCTTCTTGCATGGAGCTGTTATTGTATTACCTAGAATGTTTCATAGTATGGCATTAAACTTGCCAATTTCCATGGGGATAAGAGAGACACCAGTGACCAGACCAAGTTACAGGTCAAATTTGTGTAGAGGTATTTCTGCACTTAAGCACAATGTTTAAGCAAGAAGAACATGTGTGACGGGACAAATGCAAAATAGATCCAATTTAAGCCATACTATGGAAAATTCTAGGCAAAGCTATTGATAACTTGCAGTGACATCACGCTTGGGGAGTTCTACATGTATGTCTGTGGCGGAATGTTTAGGAGATACCATGGTGACACAATGCACATATAGCAAACACTGTCAAAAAGATTTAAGATGGTCTGAAAACTCAAGAAAAAATACAAAATAGATTTAAACTGTACATTTTCAGGAGCCTGTGATCAATATAGCTACATTCAGACTGCAGCCTGAAGTGACCCAAAGCTAATTTTTTCATCCCTATGCGACCTGTATCTAATCTTTTAATGACAGTCTGAATGACACAGATCAGATTTTTTTCAAATGCGACCCAGGCCACTTGAATATGTGCTCCTGAAACTGATACATATCCAATCTTTTGACATGCGACGTCAGTCTGAACGGGCAGGTCGCATTCATCCCACCTACACATCAGGCTCGGAGTCTAGTCAATGGAGGGAATGAGAAGTTAGTGAGTTTATTAATATTTGGGGGGATCGCTGTATTCAGGTCAAAATTGGAGGGGTCTTATCGGAATCGGGCGTTTTTTGAACTGATTGCCAAAGAAATGGCCAAGCATGGCTACAGGCAGCCCTGGCTCCAATGTCAACAAAAAATAAAGAGCCTGCAAGCCAAATACAAGGAGGCTAAAGACTTAAACAAACAAAGTGCCCTGGGATGTGTAACCTGTCCATTTAATGAAGAACTGGACCGTATATTAGGAAACAAGCCCAGCGTTTAGGCTTCTGTAAACACTGAGCATGCTCTCTGTGTGTGATGTTGTGTCCTCCAATGCTCATGCGAGACACTTTTGGGGCGTTTAAAGGTGGAGTTGGAGATCGCATCCAAGTGGGATTTAATTGGAAATGTGAACGACCTCACAAAAAAAATCAGATTTCACAACAAAATCTGAATTGTGCATTAAGCCCTGCAGTCTGATCATAGCCTATGAGCATTCATGGTCCTGTATAAGTGTTTGATTTTCAACTGAGAGTGACTAAATGAAAAAAAAAATTGGCTAATGCTAGATAGCTTGTGAGTGTAAAATGTGTGAGAGACTTGTTTATAGCACAAATCAGCTCACCTGTAGTTCTCACTAAACCAGCTCTTTTTAGTCAGATTGTGTTAAAGTAAACTCATATTAAAGTCTAACAGAGCTGCTGACAGAGTAGTGCCTTTAGTTAGTTTTGTCATCACACCCCCAGGGACTGTTGATCACATCAGCTGCAAAGTATCAGTAACATTTCAACTGCATTAATAATTTAACAAAGCAAAATAGATAAGATTTATGCAATACTGCTGAACATTCCAGGCAAATTATCTCAGTGAAGACAAGAGGGTAGCAAAGTTACACAGTGAATCTTTAACATATTTATATTACATACAACTTGGCCTCCTCCTTCGTCTCATCAGTGCAGCCCAATCTAATCCATCACAGCAGCTCTAATTTCACCAGCTCATTTGCGAGCGCGCCTCTGTGTTCTTTGGTTTGGGATTTGGGGAGCAGTAAGTAATAACAGTGGCACATTCCTGGGGCGTTCATTGAAGTGAATATGTGTTTAGTGTGTAGAAGAAGCCACATTATTGCTATGCACCAGGAAACTCCACGCTCACAGACTTTGAACAGCCCCAGCTCCGCAGAGGGATGGTGCAAAGTAGGTTGGGACATGAATCACATTGGACGCTGTCTGAAGCTCGTACCGAAACTGTGAAAATGTGAGTTGTCTGAGTGCGTTCTGGTGACCTGGATTCAACTGCTTGTATTTGCACAGCCTTGGTTCATTCATTGCACTGTCCTCTCTGTCTCTTTTATATTCATGAAGCGCTCAGGGACATTGTGCCAGCAGAAATCTAAAGTCTGCGTTGGGTTTTCCATGACTACTGATAAAATGGTGAGAGATAAGGTTATGATCCTCTTCGTGCTCTAACCGGCACTATCAGACAGCGGATTTTTCGTATGTTGTTGTAGATGGATGTCATTCAAATAGCTCAACTTTAAGTGTTCTTTGTATTTCTGGTTTCAGGTTTGCAGTTCAAGGTAATTGAAGTGCAGTACAATTGTTCGGGAGTACAAAAGTGGCCCAAATAATATTTTATGTGAAAAAAGCTATTCTGTCGGCTTAGTCAGAGTCTAGTAAGTGAGAAGTGATCTACCTTTTTTTAATGTGGACATATTGCTTTAAGGGGAGGTTTAAAGGTCCTATATGACACAAAACTGACTCTTGTTAGCTTTAAGGCCATGTTAGAATGTTGTTACCTCCTCAAAAACATACCTGGAATTCTGTTTTGTTCTTTTGTTGTTTTTGTTCTTTCACACATGTTTGAGAAATCCTGGTTTATTAGTCTGTTTACATCTTCAAATCTGTTAAGCAGAATTTGCCAACTCCAGGGCTAGTGAAGGTGTACGGAATGGAGCACTTCCTGTATTGCCACATGACATCACAAGGTGGAATGGAGTGTTTTCAGTCTGAGAGAAGAACTCAGTCTAAATATGCAGGGTTTGTGTCTTAAATGTGTGAATGAAACAAACCGCAACTCCAAGTATATTTGTGATGAGTAAAAATAATTATAACAGATCAGAAACGGTACAATATGAGTCTTTTAAAGTAAAAACAAAATTACTCACTAATTTACTACTATAATATGTACTTGAATTTAAAGGTCTAATATACATTTTCTGGTGGGGTTATTGCTTTGAGTGGAAAGTTCTACAGCATAGCATCTAAAAATCTAACTTCAAGTCCCTTACACAGTCTAAAGTTCTAGACAAAACAATAACATCTCCAGCAAAGTTACATAGTGCCTAAACCTTTAATTGTAATGTTTAAATAAAATAAATTAAAAGAATCCTCACATTTAAAATTAGCTCTATAATCTGACTGATCACAGCAGACTCTCAAAGTGCAGTGATGCTGATATAAAAGTGCACTTATCTGGCCCACAGTGTCGTATTTCCATGCGTTTGCCTACACAGCTATACCTTCAGTGCCAGGGTACTTTTGATCCAAGGGCAACATGAGTCACCTTTACGTTTTTCATAATAACTACACAAACTGCAAATTCCTGCAAGGTCCTTCTGTATATTATGTAAAACTGACTCTTGTGAGCTTTAAGCCATGTTAAAATGTTGTTACCTCATCAAAAACATACATACACACCAGATGATTCTTTCAAAACACTCAGGCTAAAAATGTGGGGTTTGTGTATTAAATATGTGTGAATGAAACAAAACACAACGACATCTATATTTCTGATGAGGAAACAACATTATAACAGGGAAAAGAAAATAGTGGGCCCTTTAAACATCACAATTTTAAATAAAGCAATACAAATAAATTCATCTAAGCTCACATGGACAGTCAGATGCAGTAGATGTGATTCTGTACCATACTTCTTATAGTGGGTTAGCTGTGGTTTGTGCATTTTTGTGTGTGGGTCAGGATGACATTGTGA